ATAACATCATATTCTTATATTCCGAGGTGCATATTTACGTTGCGAAACGACACTGAGAATGTGTTCATTTACTCAACAGCCCAGCTGTGTTTTTAATTGACCTCAAAGGATCAATTACTCGCGCTATCCATGATTTAAATGCTCAATTGGACGTTCTGTGTAAAGTTGATTATTGCATTGTAATATTTTATCTCATTTCTAAGGATGTCGAAAGGTATATAGGGTGTATATAATCCATAGTATTAACCAAATAATTACGAAAAAGTAATATATTTTTTACATGTTCTTAGGCGAGTTTATTTAGTATTATTAGAACAACTGCTCAATTGTATGTGGACAAACCACGTTTTTCAACTTAACGCTAGAAATTCTAAAATGCAGTCGCCGACATCGCTCAGTAAAAACGCGGATCTCCCGCCAAATCGTGTGTAGTGCAAAGTGGTCGTTCCATCGTCCAATCAGAGTGGTTCGCGCTTTAGACTCGCGCGCGCGCCTTTATTGAATTATAAAAATGTGTCCAAAGCAGTGGCTAAACAATAACAAAACTAATTAAAACGTTTTCACATAGTGAACTCATTTAAAGTATCCGCGAACTCCGTAGCGAACACATCTTGTGTATTTCGAAAAAAAAAAAATATAACAGAAACGGAATAAGAATTAAATAAAACTGCAAAACCGCGGTCCGGTTTAGTTCCTTCGCCTGCTGACTTCAAAGGGAAAAATAAAAAACAAACAATCCCGGGATGATACTACAGTGAGACCTAGTGATTTCTGGGCAATTTAATAATTCATTTGAATTCGTAGTTAATGTTCGTTTTCTTCTAAATTGTTAAATTGTAATTTAGTATTGGCATTTAAAGTTATAATTATGCGTCTCAAATAATTAAAGTGATCGTGAAGTTTAAATGTTTTCTAATAATAATAAAATTCATTAGTTTACAACTACATTTCCATTTCTGGATACAGCAGTAAGTGTGTATAACGTTTATTCAGGTGCATAATTTTTTATTTGTGTAAAATGATTATGCTTCTATTTTATCGGACTTGTTGATTGTTGGGCATGAATTTTTTTTCTCTTAATATTTCTCTCTTAATATCTCTGCGCATTTTTGTTTCAATTACATTTTCAAATTTCCTATACCCTATAATTATGATATCCTCACATTAGGTTATAGGAATGTTATTTGGAGGTAAATAAATTATTTAACTTATCTATAGTATTTTTGTACTCAGAAAAGGGGTACAGTCCTTCATTGCTAGGTTATTTTACGAATTTGCGATATTATGTAAAATGAGGTAAGTATTAATATGCTGAATATGCATTGTCTTCGAAAGAAGTTTGTCGAAATATAAACGTTCTATAATAGAAAATATTCTGAGCGAATGTATTATTTCCGTTTAAACAAGCATATTTAAAAATATTAATGAATAACTTCTTAGATAGTGCATTAGTAGTTAATAATAAGTAATAAAAAATAACTTCATTTAATTATTATTTCAAAATAACGTAAATTTTAAAAAGCCAAATTATTTTATTTATCTTAAGATACTATTTCATGTAATTAGTTGTAGAAAGTGAATCATTACCAACATATCTTAGTTGAGTTCCGTGTTCGATTTCAAGTACTTTTATTAACGTCTTTATGTCACGCTTATGGTACGAATTGATAATCGGGGCACTTTAATTTAATTGCGTTTTTAATTATAGTAATAAATAAACATATTAATGTCAGTGTTATACTACATTTGAAGGCTTCTTTAAACTAACTTGGAAGTTGGAAGTGGTTTGGTATCATAAGTTTGAAAATGTTTAAATTGACTACTTACGGCAAAATAAAGCATACGGTAAATTTATTCAGAGTTTAGCCCCGAATCGATGCCGTCCAGGCACATCTAACTTGACATGGACTGTTAACTGCTTTTTAATGTATGCAGTAGAAAGTCCCGCATATTTAACAAGAACTTTCATATAAACGAAAGTTTTATTTTTGCAAAGCAATTCAGGTTATTACAAATGTAGGTTATGAACGTGTGTAGTAAAATAATTCATGTGAAGCGATACCAGAATTAGTAAACATTTGCATAATCGTTTTGATGCCTTTTATTCGCTTCTGTTTTAAGTTATAATTGTTCCGGTCCCGTAAAAATTTTTCAGAAAGGAGATTTATAATATTTTCTCAATATTTTAATGGAAACATGTCATGTTATAGAGGAAGAGCTCTGTGACCCTAAACGTATTGATGGACTTTGCTATTTCAATGGTGTGCATTGCATGCATACATCTAATATTAATGTGATTTTTATGCTGATAGGTTTTTGATAAGTACTAAGTTATTTTAATATATAATTCGTGTCCAAATGTTCTATTCTATGTTTGGATTTTACGAAATAGTAATGTAAATACTAAATACCATGGCATCGTTACTTAATTACTGTATGCATAATTGTTGTATATATTTTGTGTCAAGGAAGATCCTTGGTATGATAAGATGATTTCTCAGTGGAAGCCTTTCCGGTCAACTCCTAAAGACAATCGTAGAAGATAAACGATGTATGTCTTTATGTAACTGTTTTCTGCATTGACTGTTTCATAGTTATAATACATTTATTGTGTTGCATTGCATGCGGAAGTAACCGCTGCAGTGAAGTTCCGATAACACTCCACCATATACTCGTTAGTTTCACGTTAGTCATCGTTATATTACAACGCTACAAATAACGTTATATAGTGTCTACAAAACACACTTTCTAGTTTTGTATGTATAACTAACGACTAACGACTTTTGGTGAACGATAACTTTAAGAAAGGACACGTTGAGACTTTTAGCATATAACCGTCTGTGGTTAATTGCTCTTATGATAGAATATTATAAAATTAGATATAATTTCATAATACAGGTAGAAGTTTATGCGTTTGTTATAAATATCTGCGAGAGTTTTACAAACGATTTGAAGGTTCAGCTTAGTTCGGGTTCAACAAAAATAATGGCGACCTATTAAGCGATAATAACTTGCCAACGTATTGTAAAATTGTCATCAGTACTTATAAGAATCTGTTGTATATAAATATTATCTATAGAGTAAGTGAACGTTGCAGAAAATACACCTTAAAACACCTCACCTTTAAAAGACCGGTTTCTTTTTGAGCAAAAACAAATTGCATATAAACTCTGCTCCCACATTTACCTACTTATCTAGGCAACTAATGAAAAACGAATTTATCGAATACAAAAGCGTGTTTACGGTTTTTTAAAAAGAATTTCACATAAGCTTTACATAAGCTCTTTCATATTTAATTTTACTAACTAGACTGCGGGAAAACGGTTATAAATTACAAAATAACAAGGTAAATAAATAACAAGGTGCTTACTTCTTTTATTTAAATGTTTAATTACCAGGCTCTCAATAATAATAAACTCTATATATATATATATATATATATATATATGATGTAAAATCTCTATGATGTAAATATGAGTGATTACTTAGTAACAGTAGATTCTCTTTGAAGAACGTTATTGAACTATCAGGCTCAAAGCAATTGGGCGTCATAAATTTTTTAGCGTTTGTCGTTTTTCAACGCTGCTGAATCATGTTTCATTGTACCTAAAACAATCTGTCACGTGGGTAATACTGTTTTTCTGGAGTTAAACAAAAATTTCTAAAGTAGAGGAAGTTATAAATTATGAATTATTTGTATAATGCAAAATTTAATGCCACTTCATTCCACTGCGGCGAACAGACAAACCCGTTTGTCTGTTTCTGTGATTTTTAATTTACTAAGAGTAGTAGACTGTATTATTACTGTTAATCGTTTTGTCAAATTTCTAATCCTGACTACCTGTTTCTAAGTTCTGACGCGTCCTTAGATGGTGAACGCACTAGCTCACTTTCCTTTTACTAGGAACAATACTCATTGTTGATCTCATCGAATACTTTACTACGTGATTGTCTCAGCTATTATAATTTTAGACTCTGTACAGCCTATACCTCATTATGCATATTATCGTCCGAATTTATTCAAAGAGGTTATTGAGAAGACTGGGATAAAATAAAATATTTTAGGTATTAAATCATATCACAAGTGTTTAATAGTAACAGGAGTAGAACATTCAAATTTAAAGCGGTAAATCTGCCTAATACTTAAAGCAAACTAAACTATTAGACATATCATTAAAACAATGACATATCATATGAAAATAAAATAAAAATACTGAAAGTATTACTTGATATTAATAATTACTCTTGTCTGTTTGAGGATAGAGCATAACATTTCATCTGCTACTTTTATCTAAGACGGTCCAACTGAGCTTTGGAAATCTTCAATGTCTTGTTATGTCTTATTGAGAACTCTAACCAAATTTGTTAATATTTTATTAAGCTGTAGACGCTGTTTATTATCCCTATAGTTTTGTGTCTCCGTCTTAGAAACCATGCATTTCTACTTCGTTTTCTACAACTATTTTAACTGCGCAAATCGGTGTTCATAATCTTGTTTTCGATTTCCGTGTACCGATAAACGTCATAATCAATTCCTTTCTCCTGATTTTCGCTTCTCTATCATCGGTATCGGGGTCTCTTGTTCAGCCCGATTTTCGACTTTATTTAATTTTTTTATCTGTTTTTTTCTTGAAAGGTTGAACAGCGCAAAGAAGTGTTTACTCCTGCTTTAGCTTAACAGCCAAGCATTGACATAAAAAAAAATATTCCTGCGTAATATGTCCTGTTCTGTTCATAAATTGAATAAATTGGTAGTTCTTCGGATGACCGATGGATTTTTCGAGAACAGTTAACTAATAACCAATTCATGTGGTTATTCATAAAAGAATAATAACTAAATCAATTGAATAATTTATCATCTTACCTACACAATAAGTAGCGTAGTATTGACTAAGATCAATATTCGTAATATGTAGCTAATATTTATAATCACATTATCTGTAACGTATAACTACACCGATATCGTATATTAATGTGATACATATTTGATCCAGGCGAATATGAACTGGCATTGGACGCTTGTCTTCACGGTTCTGGTGAACTTGGCGAAGGGGAATGATGAAAATGGCGTGGACCCATCTCCAGATACATACGAGTAAGCTTAATTAATAGACTGTTTTTTTATAATGGTATGGTAAAATACTTTTTTTAGCCATTATCGTTTTATCGTGGTGGTGGCTCAACGGTGTGGTCTATTAATATTAAATGTTTTTTCTATGGCAATATTAAGTTTCGTCATATTTCTAGTGAAAGTGATTTTCCGATCGTCAAGATTCGGGACAATGGTAACATTCACAGAACTGTTCCGCGCCTCACTCTTGGCAATAAACGATTTTATGGACGTTATCTATCGCTGCTATAATAAAATGTTTAACATCGTTTATAACTAACGGCTATTACTCGGCTAGTTCATAGATACTCGATGTTATTATAACGGAGAACTGATAAGATTAAATAATACAAGAATTTGACCTTTTCCTCCTATTCCATTTTATATCATGCCCTTATCTCAAATAATTTGGGTCCTTTTTTCCTTTCTATTATTCATTACCTCAAAGATAGTTTTGTTTTATATAATTGACGTTTATCTTTCCCTCCGTCTTTGTTCTGCATTAAATTTCAATTGACCTACTTGCATCATTTGTAACCCTGTAACACAAAATGTACATAAGTATTACATAATAAATTGATAAAGGAAATTACACAATAACAAGGACAATTATTTTTAATCAATTATCTCTCAACAAAAGTCGGTAAATTATAAAATAAATTTAGTCGGTAAATTAAAAAATGAGTTTATTTGTAGACCGTCGTGGGTTTACAAGTGTGAAGCGGAAGACGGTTGCGAGAGGTCGGAGCGGCCAGAGCCGACCACCGGCGTGGGCAACTCGTCATTTATGGTCTTCGAGAGTCTGGACGTGTGCCGAACGGTGTGCGGCCGCTACGGCGGCCTTTGGCCCCAGCCGGTGACCGCTGTGCTAAGCACGCAGACTGTGAAGATCCATCCAGACTTCTTAAGGTAAAAGCATATGACTCAACCTACATTTTTTTGGTATCAGGGGGGAAATCTTCAAAAGATACCTTGTCACCTCACATCACAGGGTTATGTGGGGTTTTTACCCACTAAAACCCCTCGGTGGTCATCTACTGTACGTTTGGAGGGACTCCGGGATTACGACAAGCAGGGGATACCTTAGCCCTATTTTATAAGCCCGAGACTACAGGGCTGGACTCTACCTACCTACCTAACCCAGAGTTCGATATTGGATGAAGCTTATACAGTCTTCGAAGTGTAATCATTACTATGGTAGGGCTATCGTATCGTAGGACAATATTCACTGTTGCACGAACGGGCAGGTCCGTCCATGGGAGTACCACGATCTCACAGAAAACCAGCGTGAGTTCTTACGCCTCTTTGTGAATAACCTTAGTTCGAGCACCTTAATACAATTTTAATTGCGTCAATTAGAGCTAGTGATTAAGAGTAGTTTTAAGACGATGCTATTTTTCCAATCTTGAGAGAAAATATAACTTGCGAAGCACTTTACACCTTTTACTTGCAATAGCCAAGGTATTGGTTTCGTGGCCAGGGGTCGCGGGTTGGTGGAGATTATTATTGCGGATCTCGGTGTTTCTCCACGTGAAATATGCTTATGTTAAACGTACCTACCTAATAATAATTAAATGGTTAATGATAAATAATAATGGTTAATGTTATTCCCTGTTAGAGCCGTGCTAAAAAAGTAAATGAAAAAAGATAGTCCCGCTATTCTTTCGTATTTTAATTAATATTTTGTACTCCGACTACGGTAAGGTAAGGTCTATAGCTCGTGAGCTATAACAGCAGTTCTCGTTGCATGGACCGATTTGATTTTATCAACATGCCCCGTCCCATTTGCCTGTGGAGCGATAAACTGGCTGTGGCTCGAGCATGCCAACAATATAATGCGCTTGTTCTATAACGCTAATTGCTGCTAAACGAGAAAAAAAGCTACTGCAGCAACCAGGGAGAAACCTGTTTCATAGTGCAACGCTTGCTTTGCTATCACATTCAACTATCTCTACACGTTGCACGCTGGCAGCATACAAAGCGGAATGCTTTTATTAAAAAATAAAGCACTGAACGAACTTATTTTTTTTAAATTTTTTTATTAAAATTTCTAAATAAATAAAAACTTCGCTAACTTTTTTATCGGCTCCCGTTAAAAGGATATTAATCCCTACAACGTAATCGAGTTAAAAATTGCATGTTTAAGTTCAAAATTCCCGTCATTTTTACAAAATTGAACCCTTCAACAGCTTAAAAAAATTTTTCAGTTCTAAAATGAAGTGAATAAAGTTAAAAACTAGCCCATATGTACAATTGCAATACAAGGAACACGTCAGATTTAGATAGCATTCTTTTAGTATGGAATACCTTGATATAAGTAAATTTATGTATAATAATATTTCTATATTATATGAATATGTCCGTTGTCCACGTATTTACCATGCCTTATCGAAACGTACATTGTGATCATTAAAGAAATTGACTTGTTGCAATGCAGAGTTATTATTTTATTTATGCAAATAAATCAGCATAGCTACAAATTAACAAAGTAGCGACGGAAAATTAATTACTATAAAAGACACATTTTAAAACCTCTTTTTCAAAAACAACGTTCCTCATTTTAACTTAACTAGTTATATTATCGTATCATTAAAATTTAAGACGTATAAACTAATATAATAATAATAATAATAATAATAATAAAATATCTTTATTCACATAGACGCTTGCGCGTTCTTATGAAACGTCAAAATTTTACAAGAAATTAACACGTTCGTAAGTTACCACCGGTTCGGAAAGCAGTTTCTGTTGAGAAGAAACCGGCAAGAAACTCAACAGTTGCTCTTTTTAAAAAATCAGTTTACAATATAATAGTACAGGTACAATAGTCTTGTTTTAGCCTACGTGAGTATCAACAGTATTAACCCCACACATTGGCGTCGTCAAGATATTCGGCAATAGTATAATAGGCTTTAGCCATAAGTTTACTTTTAATTTTTCGTTTAAATTCATCAAGTGGCAGACTTAATATCGACTGTGGGATTTTATTATACATGCGCACACTTTGCCCCATGAACGACCTGTTTACTTTTTGTAGGCGAAATAATGGCGTAGTTAGTTTGTCCTTATTTCTAGTATTTAGTTTATGTCTGTCACTATTCTTTTGATAATTATTAATATTCTGTTTAACATACAAAATATTACAATAAATATATTGAGACGCAACAGTGAGTATATTAATCTCTTTAAAAAGATCACTGAGTGTATTCCGGGCTCCGATGTTATAAATTGCTCGAACAGCCCTTTTTTGAATAATAAATATTGAATTTATATCAGATGCACCCCACAACAAAATGCCGTACGACAAGATGCTGTGAAAATAACTGTAGTAAACAAGTCTGGCAGTGTCGATGTCTGATAGCTGCCTAACCTTCCTAATTGCAAAAACAGCGGAGCTTAACCTATTCGCAAGAGATGATAGATGGGGACTCCATTGGAGCTTTGAATCTACTGTGATTACCAAGAATACAGCGGACTCAACAGGATTAAGGGTTACGCTATTCAATTTTAAGCTAAAACTTCGCCTTCTTACGTTGGGAAGGGCAAAAAGAAGGCATTTGGTTTTTTTTAGCATTTAACACCATATTATTAATGGTAAACCAGTGGAGGATACGCGAAAGTGCACTATTCACGTCGTCATAATTCGATACATTTCGGTCAACCTTAAAAATAAGCGATGTGTCGTCAGCAAACAGTACATCACATAACTCACTGGCATAAAAGGGGAGATCATTTATATATACTAAGAATAATAATGGGCCCAAGATTGATCCTTGTGGGACACCCATTTTCATGGGGGACCCTGCGGAATTTACATCATTTATAGATACTTTTTGAATTCTATCACTAAGGTAAGAGGCAATGAGATTGAGGGCGATGTCACGAATGCCATAATAATCAAGCTTTAGAAGGAGGGTTTTGTGATCCACGCAGTCGAAAGCTTTTGAAAGGTCGCAAAAAAACACCTATTGCATCTTGCGACCCTTCCCAGGCGTTATAAATATGTTTGACAAGTGCGATACCCGCATCTGTTGTTGATCTGCCTTTAGTGAATCCATATTGCTCATTGTGAAAAATTTTGTTCATATTAAAATGTACTAAGAGCTGATTTAAAATTAGTTTTGCAAAAATTTTACTCAGAGATGGCAATATGGAGATAGGTCTGTAGTTTCCTGGATCATTTTTATCCCCACTTTTGAAGACGGGGATTATCTTACTAAATTTCATAAGATCTGGAAATATTCCAGAATCTATGCAGTTGTTAAAAATATTAGCTAAATGTGGTGCAATATATGGCATTATTGTGCTCATTAATTTTATGGACATGCCCCATAAATCCCCTGTATTCTTAAGATTAATAGAATTCAAAACTTTTATAATATCATAAGTATCAACATGATTAAATTTAAATGTGTGTGGAGAAAAGGTAACATTATTTCTTAAAACGTTAATTGCATCTATGGGAGATGATTTTAATGTACATCGGACATTAACTGCAATTTCTGAAAAATAGCTTTCAAAACTACTTGCAATTTCATTATCTGTTGTTATGGGAGTATTACCTATAACCAGTTTTATAGGTTCCCTGAATATCTTGGGTCTTCCAGATATACGGGTAATGATGTCCCATGTGGCTTTAATTTTATTGTTTGAATTTATTATTCTATTTCTTATATGAATAGATTTTGCCTGAATACAGACTTTTTTAAATATTTTGGAGAACATTTGTACCCTTTTATGAAAGTTGGAGTCATGATTCCACTGCCTCATATTATATAATTCATACAGTAACGTTGTTTTCCACCATTTGTGTATACATATATAAAGTATGTATACACAAATGGTGGAAAACAACGTTATTTACAAATGTTTATACCTTGACTATATAATTGAACAAATGCTAAATGGCATCTGTTTAACCATACGATATATTCTTGCTAAAAATAATCATCAAGCCAAATTGTAAATTTCCGTAGGTATTCATTCTACTTCTACTACTATTCTGATATCCGTGGTTATTCAAAAACTATGTGTTGTTAAATAAAACTGCTACATTATGTCCCGTGACCTTAAACTCTGTTAATGTTTTCGCCGTAAATGATAATTAAAAATAAAAAATAAATAATCTGTAAGTTGATTTTATTCAACTGCGCCGTAAATTATAATTAGAAATAAAAACGAAATAATCCATAAGTTAATTTTATTCAATTGTTCGCGTTTTATATTATTTTGTTTAAATTCAAACATGAAAGGTTCAAGAATGTTTTAGCTTTTCCTCTATTCGTTTCTCTAGGATCAGTAGCGATCAAAGAACAGGTATAGCAAACAAACAATCTTTCTCGCTCTTTCCGATAACCCCGAACGTCTGAATGTATGACGTTCGTGTTACGCAACATTGTGGCGGCAACCGAATCATTTATTATACTTTTGTATATCTATTAAGTCACATAAAGGAAGATTTATATGTTGGCCGAGTTTAGGGTTTCCACTATTTTTTAACGCGTAATGATAAAGTGTTATAAACAGACTAACAGTCATGTTAGTGTCGGCATTAATTTATGACGTTGGAAACGCCACATAAAAATACCGACTACGACAAAGGTCGACAACTATTATAGCACAAGCTTAGATTAAACCGTGCTGTTTGCGAAGTGCTTAAATTTTAAACTTTTTTGTTTGAATAACTTTCATTAGATTTAAAATTAAATTTGTTTTTATGTCATGCATTTTTTTTACGATAGCAGTTTGTGCATTCACGATCGGTTCTTTTTATATACTTACCTGTGTATAACCTTGAATTTCGTACGTATTCAATAAATAATCTCTTGTGGGTGTACGTTTACTTTGTAATATTTATTTTTACAATGAAAAATTTAAAATATAACACAGTCTTGTAACAGGCGCAAACAATTCGCGTTAGCGGATTCACATACAAATTAGCCCTTATTTGAAACTGTATGATTTATTAGCAATAAAATTGGTTATGAATGATTACATATTTACAACTTTTTATAAAAAAACGTATTTTTTTAAATATACGAAATATTTATCATTATAAATGTGACAAACGAACTGGCGGTTCACCTGATGTTATGTGATAACCGCCACCCATGGACATTTGCAACACCCGTAGGGTTGCAGAAGCTTTGCCACCTTTAAATAAAGTGGGACCCGGCTACCGCACTCACCAGACGAAACGCACAAGTTTAACAATTCTACTTTACGGTCTTCTGTGAGTTCGTGGTAATTACCCGGACTGACATGCCCATTCGTGCAACAGTTTCGTGGTTTCCATTGCGTGGTCCTACCACAGTTATTATTGTGTTTCGGTAAACGAAATAAAAATTATTTATGAGTCAGTAAAGTTAATGAGGCCATATGCAAATATTTTATAAGGATACATAGAGCCGACGAAATTTATTTTACAAAAATATTTTAAAGTTATTCGACTTTTATGTTACATTTTCTTCATTTTCTTTCTGCGTTTTTCCCATTACTGGGTTTACTTCACATTTGAAATTGCGACCAGAGTTAATTGAATCTTGAATTTTTACATCTATAGACACTATAAAAAATTCTAATTGATGAGATGATTATTAAAAAAACGTTAGTACAAATTGTAAATTATCAACATCGCTTTGTCCAAGAGACATTGAAGAGCAATAACATCTGTTGTTTAGTGTGTGCACCAATTCGTCCAGGGAGTTCCAATTAGTATTAACTTGAGTGTAGTTGCCATGGTTAACGGTAATATATAATATAATATCACAAAGGCCACCCTACCGCCTTTTGTGGAAAATAAATAAAGGTTATATATATCTACTGAAATTGTCCACTTAATATTTATTCTAAACACAAGATATGTATAATAATTAGAATATCTACTTAATTGTATAAAACAAGTTATTTCTAACATACTAATAATCTATTTCGAAATTGGGATATCACTAATAACTATAATGGGCCCAATCAGATCGCATCGCTGCGGCGACCACAATAGCTACTTTTGTATACAGTGCATTAATTTGATGTATAAAATGACTACGGTTGATGGCGATACTAATAGTGATAGGTAGAGAAGTCGCACCGCAGGTGTCTCGAGCCCGTCTGTCTATTCTTAGCCCTAGACGACAACGGCCCGCGTCACTCAGATCGGACGACATTTTAGCAGAACATCGCTACGGGCAACGTTTGCAACAGTTTCCTTATAGTAACATGAATCCTATAGACATGGCACAGAATAAAATATGCTATAGGGATTCTGATTTTAGAAAATTTATAGGTGATGGAATACGTAAAGTATTTCTTTAATTAAGCAATGGCCGCCTATTGTGCTTCTTACAGCAGAAATGTTTAGTTTTCCCTTTCTTGGTTTGCAATAAAGTATATTTCTTCATTCATAATTGCCTGTTTCAAGGAGACTTATTTAAAATAAAACTTTTAATTTTCTTTACTTATTTATCTGTATACGACTGCAATGGCAACTTATTTGACACGGCTGGTCACAACTACTGTGTGGAATCAATTGCCGCCAGCGATATTTCCGTATCGTTACGGCTAAGGGACCTTGGAAAAGAAAGCCATTCCTTACCTCAAAGACTGGCAACGCGTTTATGACTTGTCTAATGTTGGAGGATTCATAGGTGGTAATTACTTAAAAAACAGACATGGAACGAGGTGCGATTAAAAATATATGTATCTTTGAATTAACTACATTACAAATTGCTAACAATTATACATTTCAGAGAATTGATAATTCAATGCAAACGATGTCACGGCTAACAACCGATAATTTCATACATATAATTAAACAAACGCGTCTGTCTCCGATGCGGATATCTAGAAACACGTGAAATTGTCCAAATATTTAAGGAAAAATACTAAAAACATTGTTTATTATAGGTACTTTTGACTGTTACGTAATAAAATTATCCGACCACATCTAGAAATTATTTATTTGTTTTACTAAAAAATGCAGACAGCACTTAGACTTTTACGGTAATACTCATTATTAATACGGAGTGAATAGTAAAGGAAAAGGATTTCTGTGTTTCAAAAATTCTTCGAAATCTGGGCATTTGTCCATCTTAATATTGTGTATATAAAACGTTCATGCTCCAGCTAATGTTCTTCCGTAGTTAGCAAGCTTTTGAAAAAATAAATGAGAGTAAACACAGGACTCTTTAGAAGGAATTCGTCAAATCAACAGGAATTATCTGTCATACATTCTCCCCTAACACAGTTATCGGTAAAGTTCTTCCGCATCGCCGCTGAGACGTCGTGTGCACACGTTTTCAAAGAATTTTTCCCCCTATTACCCGGTCGTTGACGTTTTCAACTTGCTGTCGATCCCTTTGTATTGGGTCTATCCGCGTCTTTTTATTATCTGGGAGACATCCAACCATTTCGCAGACTTGCGGCCTATATTTAGAGCAAACAGTCAATTCGTTTGTATCCCTTAGTTCATTCACTTAAAGACGTTTGAATGATCAATACTACTTAATGGAACCTTTTTTACGCTCTATTTTTGTCGGACATTGCCATTTGACATTCCCTACCGTCTACACCGGGGCGTGCGAGAAATTTTATGTGTAATTTTATGGGAATATTATGGGTGCTACTACTTACTATACGAGTGATGTGGTGTTTTAGTTTTGCGTTATTCATTTTCTAGCTGATTTTCAATAACTTGTCTTCTTTGTTTAAGATTCAACAGACCTAAATCTGGTAATAGTCTTCGGGGAGTATAATATAAAATGTTATGCATGTTGCATAGAATTTTGATTTATTTAAGAATCAAACTCCATATATGTATCTTCATTAATTATTTTGTATACGCGTGTATTGTAGCTATTTTTCACTATCAATTCATATTTATATCCTTAGACGTCCGTCCCTTAACCGCAGTCTGACATTTTTATTTAGTTGAAATGTTTTTTTTTATTTGCATTTAAAAATTAACGAATAGCATGATGCTTTGTCCACGGCATGAGATTTATAAACATAAAAATCTTGAGAATTGTGTACCTACTGCTCAAAATGTTGACACGATTTGAAATTAAACTTACTTGTTCTAAACTAAACTACACGCACACAGATTAGTGGGAGTATGGTGAATTGATTCAGAGGGCAGAAATATGAATTGCGCCGCGATAAACGAAACAAAATATCGAATGTCATATGATATCACCGATTGTCATCGGTCAAACACCTTCTATAGCTCCGCTGATATGTCAATATTTGTTTTGTGTCCGAGTAAATTGGTGAAGTATTAGCCGGAGGTTGATGACCGCTCTCGGGAAATAACGGAACGGTGACCTACGATCCTCATTGATGCGCATCCATGCCAACTTTGGTCACCTATCCCGCCTACATCGTATTTCGTATATGGATTTCGCCAAAAGAGGTGTCATATGTGTTTGTTGATACAAGCTAAGATTACGTCATTCTTCGCGTGTGTTTTTACATATTTCTATTTAAAACAATTAAATTAAATTAAATTCATATTCACTTTAGTTTAACAAGGATTTTGTTATTTTCAAAAATAAACGAATGGTCCAAAGATTACGTTGAGTGTTATTTCAAAAGATTATAGCATTCTTCATACGAGAAGAAAATTATTCGTACACAAAACGTTTTCAGAAAAAGTAAACTCAAGTGCAATGAAACTGAATTTTTATTATCACTTCAATATCAATCCCATTTTCGCTATCTATCGACGAAGATATAAAAGATTATGGTACCTTTATAGCACTATCTATTTCTTCAATTTTTACATGTTACTATATAAAAAATATTACGCTTGGATATCAAATGTCATGATCAGTCACTTATGGTCTCATAAAAACATACGATTAGTTAATAATTTCTTGTATTTACGCGATTACACATTACTAAATGAAAGTATCTTTTTGGATTTATCGCGTTTATATTTTAGTTTTGATTCTCGTTGTTTCCAAAAGTCTGCCCCGTAATCATGAACGCTGTAAGGGGTTTGAAACGTCATTTAGTAATAAGATTATATGATTGTAGACAAATAATTAATTATTCCAATCTAGATTAATGAGATGTAAACCGTTTAAAAAATTTGTTTTTTAGTGTAAATATCAATAAAAATAAATTATTTTTCAAATTTCCGTTTATCGATGCCAACAATGACTTTATAAAACAATAATTACCATATTGTCCACAATTGCTGAATATTACCAAATAAAAGTCGTAGGATTCCTGTTTAAAGTGCAAATTGTAGATTTGTAATCTGTATCCAATCTGTACAACAATTGAACAATTATCTTCAGGTCATACAAATAATAATCTCGAGCGGGCATCGAACCCACGATTAAAGTGTATCGCTTTCAACTGCATCAACCCTGCTATCAAATGTATGATTTATCTTAATTTCCAATGAGTTAAATCAGTGTTTATTTTTTGCTGGTTATGTCATTATGCCGAAATAAAACAGTCGTAGGACTGTACGTCAGAAGCGATTTATTACGTGAATTCAATGGTTTTCCCTAACCTTAGTTTAAATTAAGGTTATGGAAAACCACCGAACTGAAACTAAAAGTGCCTAATGTGCTTAAAAAATATTCATTTAAAAAAAATGCTTGTATATTCTCCCGCGAAATTTTCATTTGTTATTAACGATATAATTTCTGTTCGACGTTCTTATTCTAGGTTCGACCTTGAAAACGCCCCTGTTGAAACCAGAGAACTCCTCGTTGAAATGACCCGGGTCGTCACTGCCAATCTCCTTGCCGAATGCAACGGGAATGTCACGGAGGTCGTCGAGACTCCGGTAACGGTGTACATATCGGTGACGTCACCTTCGCTGGTCCTCAGCTGGGACACGGACGAGCAGTATTATCTGGACGTGCAAAACAAAGGTGACGCGTTTGTCTTATGTTCTCTTTTTAGCTATTGTGGCAATGCGGCTTAGCACCCTATGTGACTCTCGCCGCTCACAGAAATCGACAAATAGATGTGTGGTTGTTTTGTTGTCAACCGTTTAAAAGGTTCGGTTTCGGTTTGTATCACTCAACAGCCTAAATAGAAAAGCACGAACACTTTACGTCGGTCTTCTCGGGCTGTGGCACTTGGACGTGCCCTCCCATTCGTACAAGAGCGGAGATTGTTACGTTGCTAAACTTCAAGTTAGCAGACCTGAAGATATCAATAGCTATAAAGGAAGTTAGTCGTTGACTTCGTGCAAACAATAATTTTAATACCACGTATTTAACAATAGTTATATTTATAAGCATTAATAGTCCTCATTTTAATAAACTACTCCATTTTCTCGCAACAACCGTGTCGCACAAACATGAAAACACAGATGGTACATTCGGACGAACAACTGTTTGTCGGACACTCATGCTTTCGGCACTACAAAGGATCGAACCCAAGACATTCATCACCATCATGTATTCAGCCTGTTTTAGTCCACTGCTGGACATAGGCCTCCCCCACAAGAGAGCACGATCCTGAGCCACCCTCATCCGTCGCCTTCCATACATGGCACAGACCGTCCCCATCCCACGACGTTGTGAATAAGCATTTGGTGAAGTACTCTTTTTGCAGGGTTTTTATACGGTTGAACCGTATCAAAAAGATCTTTTGATGACATCCCAAAACAACACTGTTATTAAACGGTTTTATTTAGCTCGACACGTACGGAATTTGTTTATTTATTTGGGTCAAAATTAGCACTGACGGGAAGGTGCTTGAACTAGAAATTTAAGCACCTTCCCGTTGTCAGATTGATCTGAAATTTGGTACACACATTTAATTTAGATGACAATACAATATTGTAAAACATAAAATAAAACCGTTTAACTTAAAAGTTTTTAAACGGTTTTATTATGTATTTATTTAAATGCAATAGGTATCGCATTACGCCTATCTACTTGCACGTAACACTAGACCCGACAGCAAACAAATGATATGGTTCGGTTGCACAATCAATAAGTAAATAATATCAACTCTATTCACAAAATATCGATTGCACTGCAAACTGTTTGTTTATTATTCAATATGTTTCTTTTTGGAGCGGTATCATTACTTGGGAATTAGATTTGCGTTTTCACATCGCAGCTTTGAATCCCAGTGCCGTAGCCGAACGTACTTTTTTTGGATATCTTAAGAACAAAACTCCTTATTTCACGTCTCCAACGACAGTGACTATTTCATAACCTTGCTTTATAGTAGGGCTCTGAAAGGCATGGCAGGGTTCGGAAATATAGGAAAAAGTTAAATTTGCAATTTTTCAAATTGGCGGATTAAACGATGCGTGCCGAATCGAATGCGCGCGGCATCACTCGTCTGTATCGGGGGTTTTCCCCGCATCGTTTTTTATATTTAATCGTTAATCAATTTGGCCAAAACAAAGTACAATATAAAGAACATCAACAAAATAAAGAAAAACATGTTTGTTTTGCCTCTGACGTAATACCATGTAAAAGGGTGAATATTTAACAAACTCTCAGAAAGAGGAAGTGTTTGTATACATAAACGGCGTAACATTTTGTGTTGTTTATCATTACATTGGTTACAAACCCAGATCCTTCCCAAAGTATATGTATGGAAAACATTTCAGAGATACCTTTCCCATATTGTAGTGGAACAGCTTTTCCCTGGAAAATGAGCAATGATCTCAAAAAGAAAAATTTCTTTCATTTTGTGAACAGCTAATAACAGCAATTGCGAGTAGAGCTACATTAAACGGATTTTTTCATCATTTAGATTAGTGTAATCAAAACGTCAGGAATCGACTGGGAAATGACAAAGCGGCTTAATTGACATTTATTTTTGAACAAGCCGAAACCTGTTAACGCAGTGGAGGTACGGATGATATTCTACTGTAATTTATTGTAATTTCCCTAACTTAAATTACGATGGATAAATAGTCAAATAGCAGTACCTCTACAAGGATTGCTAAATTAATATCTGTTTGATAATTATCTTTATAATTATCAACAGAATACAAGGATTGCTTAGTGATATAAACTTCAGTCATCAGTTTGATAATTACCTTTGTAATTATCGCGATAAGTATCAAAAGACATATTTGTCTTCATAATTTCATACCATGCTTTTTAGGCTTAACGAAATGTGGATATCGCCATCTATATATTACCACCTTGTAAGTGTCAAAAGACGTTCTAGTCAGTATCCATTACGTAGTAGGGGTTCAAAATCTGTAAATGAACATCGTTATTCGGTTATATATCTTAAAGTTTTTCGAAGTAAAAATCGAACACTTTCTCATATTTTGTTTACACTAAAAATACACACTGAAAAATTCACCCTATATATTTTCTTCATCGCCGCTCTTACAGTCGACAACGTTGCGGTGCACGTATCGGCGCAGACCGTTTACGGCGCGCGACACGCCCTGGAATCCCTCACGCAGCTGATAGCATCCGACAGGCCGGATTACTCAAAGAGGCGTCAGTGCGGCCTTCAGATGGTCGCCGGAGCGAAGGTCAGGGACCGACCCGTGTACAGACACCGCGGCCTAGTTCTGGACACTTCTAGAAACTTCATCCCGATGGCGGACGTGAGGAGGACGATCGACGGAATGGCCGCCACCAAGATGAACGTGTTCCATTGGCACGTGACGGACTCCCAAAGCTTCCCGCTGGAGTCGAGGAGTGTGCCGCAGTTCACAAGGTGAGGTGCCCTTTGTCGCTTTGTTCGATTTTTAAATATTCAATTGTTAAATTTTTAAATTTTTAAATTTTCAATTGTTCGATTTTTAAAATGGATCCATTCCGTTGAGAATGTGACCAATTCAACTCTGGCCATAGGAATTCTATTGTTGATTATGAGGCATTTATGTTAGAGCTTATGTTGAGGCGACCTTCAAACTTCACGTATGGTTGACTATGTCCATTGTTTATAATTATACTACACGTCGTTGTTAATGACTAACAATTAATAACCATTTTGAATATTGATAGTCTTAAACATTTTTGTCGTTTACTGCCATTCGAACGCAATTGTTTTCAAGGTCAGCATCTAAATTATACTTTTGAATAACAACACAATTAATATTTTTTTTTTTATGTATAGTTATATATATAGTTTCGTTGTTTTTTATATATAGTTTCGTTTATAAGTCAGTTAACTATTACTGCATGGTATATACTCGTAGTTTTGAAAATCTCGATACATTAGCGTTGATGTCAATTATTTAAAGGTCACTGTTATCCATCGTTAAGCGCTTCCAGCGAACTGTAATGTGCAGTTATTATATATTGTTGTTGGACATTATCGCATGTGCAACCGTCAATCGGTGAGCATCTGGCGTAATAAACCTAAAAAACGGTTACTATTAAGATGAGTGGTTGGTATCGCGGGTTAGAATCCCGTCCCCTTTAAGAGGAAAAACCTTTCTATAAAAATAAAAGCGGTGATGAAGCTTTCAGAGAAACGATGTCGTATATTTGTAAAGAGTATAAACAAATATAAGAGTAAAAAAAAACAAGCAATCTGTAAACAAAAAGTGTCATATGTTATTATAACTCAGAAAACATTTTAGGGTTATTCAATAGTGCAAACGAGTACTTTTGGTTACTGATTGACTTTTATCGAAGATTTAGCATATAAAAAATTTTACGATGCACATTATACCGCTGATGATGCGATGGTAGAGCCACGCAATAAATAGTTCATTCTATTGCACGAATGGATAGGCTCGCTCGGGAAAGTACCAGGTCCTTAAAGAAGGTAGGCGTAGTTAATTATTCTCTCGGGTGAGTCAGGTAGCTCTGGGCATAAGTTTAAAAAAAACAAGATATGGCATCGTATTCCTTCAGGTATTTCCGATGTCCATGGGTGGCAGTAATCACTTAGCATCAGGTGAACTTAGCATATAAAAGCATCAGGTGAACCGCCTGCCAAATTTGACTAATAACTAATCTAAAGAAAAGCAACTCGGGGCAGGAAATGCACGTCTGAATGCGCGAAACCACACCGATTTGATAAATATATGCAACAAGTTCTGTAAAATTCCTCTGCATAACGCGTCACATTGAAACAGTGAGCAATAAAATGTCGTCGAACGGCTTTTAGGTACGGTGCGTATTCGGCGGACGAAATATACAGTGCGGAGGAAGTGCGCGAGCTGATAAGGTACGCGCAGATACGCGGAGTGCGCGTTGTCATGGAGATCGACTCGCCCGCGCACGCTGGCAACGGCTGGCAGTGGGGCAAGGTGATTGATGTGTTCTTTGTTCCGTTTTAGCACATTTAGGGCAGCATCGAAGTGAGAGTTGTCATAACACAGTGGGCCGGATAGCTCAGTGTTCGGCTGCTCGCTTTCAACTTCTTAATATTTTTACTCGAGCAACCTGAGTTCAAACAACCAAGCTAAGTCAATAATGTAGGACAATTAAAACTAAAATAGCTTAAGTATTTCGATTTAAAGTGAGCCTTCATACATTGTTGTAGGATTTCCTTTGTCTTAATGTATCAGTAATATGTGTCCAATTTACGGTGCCATGTTGAAGAAAAATTAGTGGCTCCTTATAAAACCATACAGCAATCCATCCAACCATCTTTATTTATCCCATTTGATTATGAGTTGAGAGCTGTGTCGTGTGTACTCTTAAATCGTAGTTTAGGTTGCTCAAGGACTTTAATTCCTGTTTCATAATATAAATGCCATTATTATTTGTTAATAAAGGATTCACAATCCCTGATGTATCTTCCATTGAAACTGTAATAATTAAAAACGATAACTCTACTAGTTGATGTCACAACAACAGTCAATGTGAGACCCACAATTATTGATATTATATACAAACACGAGGTAGATATGACACTAGCGAACCAAAACTGAGACGCTCAAATTACCCCAATTGTCATAATTCTATAGGCTGCTATCTCTTTTCGTATCATACGTCATATATCATCTATTAAATTCACCTATAAGTACTACTAGCTGACCCGGCAAACGTTGTTTTGCCATATAAATTATTTGTAAGGTAGAAAAAAATGTTTGGGGTGGGCCACCCTTAACATTTAGGGGGATGAAAAATAGATGTTGTCCGATTCTCCGCCCTGGCCGATATGCACACAAAATTTCACGAAAATCAGTCGAGCCGCTTCGGAGGAAATCAATGACAAACACCGTGACACGAGAATTTTATATATTAGATAATGTAAAGCGGAACAATTTTTAAACGTCGCGCAGTATAGACATCGATACAAATATGGGTAGATATTGGCAGCGGCAGTTATTTAAAATGAAGTGAACATCACCTTTTCGTATAAAAGTGCAGGTAAACGAAACATTCTGCGCGGGTGTGAGTTCCATCCATCCCCACTACTTAAAAATATTGTGTGATGAACATAGGTCCAGTGCCTGGGTGTGTATATATTATATGTATAACATGTATTTATTTACAAAAGAAAAGTATGTTTAAGTATGTTTATCAGTTTTCTAGTATCCATACATAGTACACACGTTGCTTAGTTTGGGAATTTTTTGTTCTTTTTTTATGTGATAAAGTGGCAAACGACCTGGCGGTTCACCTGGTGTTAAGTAATAAGCGCCGCCCATGGACATTTGCAACACCAGTAGGGATGCAGATGCGTTGCCACCTTTTAATAAAGTGGGCCCCGGCTACCTCACTCACCAGACGAAACGCAGAAGTATGACACTTCCACTTTACGCCGCTCTTCTGTGAAGTCGTGGTACTTACCCGAACGGACCTGCCCATTCGTACTACAGCCAACACTATTGCGTGGTCCTACCACAGTTACTAGAGTTAAATGCAGGAGAGAGAGAAAGGACTAGAGAATGTTTATTGAATGAATGAATGAATGAATATACTTTATTGCACACCAAAAATAAAACAAACAAAAATAAAAACTTAATGTAGAAGTGATGGGAACAATGGGCGGCCGTATTACTATTTATTATTTTTTATTATTATTTATTTTATCATCGTCCACCTTTCCAGGAATACGGCTTCGGGGACCTGGCGGTGTGCGTGAACGCCCGCCCGTGGCGCCAGCTCTGCATCGAGCCGCCGTGCGGTCAGCTGAACCCGGCGAACCCGGCGATGTACCGGGTCCTTAGGGACCTCTACAAGGACATCGCCGAGCTGCTCCCCAAGCCGGCGCTCTTCCACATGGGCGGGGACGAGGTCGGTGCCAGTTTCCAGTTCCATTCCCGGCTGATGCGACAGATGTAGTTGCGGGGTTTTTAGTGGGTACCAATTTCTGACTAGGACTCCGACATACCTTTTTACTGCAACAGTTTTCAATGTTGCACGAAAGATGATTGGTATTTTTTGAGCCGGTGTGTGATAAATTTGCGATTCTAACGGTGGTAGGGCGACGCAGCGGCCAAGTCTGTTACACGAATGGGCAGGCTCGTCCGGGTAAGTACCACGACCTCACAGAAGACCGGCGTAAAGTGGAAGTATAACACTTTCGCGTTTCGTCTGGTGAGCGAGGTAGCCGGAGCCCAATTTTCAAAAGGTTGTCAAAGCATCTGGAACCCTCGGGTGTAGCAGATGTCCATGGGCGGCGGCATTCACTTAACACCAGGTAAACCTACTCGCTTAGCAACTTGTCATATAAAAAAAAATCTTAGCATTAGTATCCATCGAAGCTTTTGATTGATTGCCTGATGTCTGGTTTCATTGTAGGTATACTTAGGCTGCTGGAACTCGAGCAAGGAGATAGTTTCGTACATGAAGACCAAGGGTTTCGATACGGACGTGGAGGGCTACATGCGGCTGTGGGCGGAGTTCCACGCGAAGGCGCTGCAGATCTGGGACGAGGAGAACGGCGCGGCCGGCGACCAGCGGCAGCCAGTGATCCTCTGGTCTTCCGAGCTCACGCAGCCCGAAAGGATCCAGAGCTATTTGGACAAGGACAGGTAATTGCGGCCCTCCTTGTCCCTCACTGTGACACTGTCAACTTTTGGTTTAGTGACAAGAAATTGGATTGATGAAGTACATCGATAAGTTGGCAGAATCGATTTAAAATACAAAGTACCGATTGAGTAAAGTACCAAATTTAAATCTGAAATAGAAATCGATCTTTTTGGGACTGTAACTTACTTGCGTTGATTTTCATTACACAGTAAAACCAAAATTTTATTGATTTTTTGTTTTTATGCGAATACTCTATTAACATGGTCAAATTAAACTATTTTACGAATTTTGTCGACGGATTTTTATTTTGATTTTAAATTTCCCACCTTTCAAATCCTTTAAAGCGTTCACGCGTTCATTACGCTCGTGAAAATGTCTGGAATTTGAAACCAAAATGTTAATTTTAATTACTTATTTCAAATAAATTTTAGTATGAATATCTTATAAAATAATTAAATTTACCCGCGTTTTGCTTTATAAAAGTTATCGTTCACGCGAATTTCCGCTAAAACGACATTGATTCGATTTGAAATATTATCAGTTATCGTTTTAAATAACTCTTCCAGATACGTCATTTGAAATATTATTAGACTTTTGTTAACTCTTAATGTATTATGTAATCAAAATATTTCACAGACGTTTACTTTTACTCCTATCTTTATTGTAACATTTTCGATTTCAACTTCATATGTGTATAATGTAATGATAATGTAATGAATTGTGTTTTTTTTTTTGGATTGATTTGAATTGTATTAGTTTAATAGTTGTTTTTTCAATGCTTAAATAATCCTGTTTCTCATGCAAATACCACATTTAATTGAAATGTCGTATACACCTATAATTGAGGTGGCACTTAACATGTTTTTCCATATAATTAGTGTACACTTATATTTTTTCAGTGTCCATTTCGTTGGTGTATCAAATAAATAAATAAAAATAAATAAAATAAAAATAAAAATAAAACTCTTCCAGGTACGTAATAGAAGTTTGGGAGCCGCTGAGCAGTTCGCTCCTGAACCAGCTGCTTCGGCTGGGCTACAGGACGATCTCCATACCGAAGGACATCTGGTATCTGGACCACGGCTTCTGGGGCAAGACGAAGTACTCCAACTGGCGGCGGATGTACGGCCACCTGCTGCCCCGGGACCCCAACGTCCTGGGCGGCGAGGTGGCCATGTGGAGCGAGTACGTGGACGCCCAAGCGTTAGGTGAGCTGTTCTCTGTATGTTTTAAACATAATTCCTACTTTCGATATTGTGGGCAGTTTTAATAGTACATCTATACATTTCTATAACGCCACATGAAATTGCTCGGTGCCCGTCTCCGGTCCCATAAAGATTTTCTGTGTGCAATAGTTGGGTATTAGAATGACATATCAATAAACATATCTGTTTATTGGTATGTTTATCCTAATACCCAGTTTCGAATTTCGTAACGTCGAACGATTTTGTTCATCTACAAAAATTTACACAGGGTACACCCTAATACTGCAGGGGATCTAATATTACATACTTGGCATTCTCTTATACTACACAGGATATACCTTAATAGTACATATGATATACCCTAATACTACAGAGGGCATACCCTGATACTACATAAATTCAAATTCATATTCAAAATATCTTTATTCAAGTAGACGCTTGCGCGTTCTTTACTAAACGTCCAATTTTACTTAATAATTGATACATAAGTTCGTAAGTTACCATATAGGATATACCCTAATTATATTACAGAGGATGTTCCCTAATACTAAAAAATCATTCCCTAATACTACAGGGGGCACAGTCATACTACAAAGGGCATTGATGACTCCGTGGCTCGGTTGCCAAGGTATTGGCTTCGGTGTTGGGGGTCGTGGGTTCGATTCCCACACGGGACAATTATTTGTATGACCCACAGATAATAATTGTTCCCCATCTGTCAGGTGTTTGTCCGCGTTAAATTTATGTTTGTAAAACGTCCTTACAACACATAGTATATTATACTAGCTGCTGCCCGCGACTACGTCTGCGTAGAGGGGTGAAAATTTAGGGTTGCATGTATTTTTGTATGCTGTGTCATAAAAAAATAAAAACAAAAAAATTTGCCTAAAAATAAAAATAAAATTTAGGGGTGGACTGCCCTTAACATTTAGGGGGATGACAAATAGATGTTGGCCGATTCTCCACCCTGGCCGACAATCACGCTAAGGATCACAAAAATCGGTCGAGCCGTTTCGGAGGAGTTCAAGTTCGAACCCCGTGACACGAGAATTTTATATATTAGGTATAAGATAGTGTTATCATAAAGTATGGGTAAAAAAAACCAAAACAATACCCTTACGCGGGGCGTACCCTATTTTTTTTTTATAAACGTTGCCTTACTTTACGATAACATTATTAGTAAGGACGTTTTACAAACATAAATTTCACGTGATGACTAGATGCAAATAACACCACAAACGGATCCAAAAGGACCCAACGGGACCGGAGAAGAGGCCTCCTTCCACCAGTGGGACACATACGTTGTTACAGAGCCACCGTCGGGGGTCCCGCCGGATAACATTACACACACAGTTAGTGTAGCAACAAACACATTAGTTCGCCCTCGCCTCCGAGCACGGCGAGACCAACACAACGCGTACACAAGGTACACCCGCGTTCCAGGGCGGTTCTCACCGCCCCCAGCCACCGATTAGCTAAAAACACAGTCAACGGCCATCGGGGTCTCGGTCCGCACCGCTACTTCGATGGCCCTTAGATGACATGCCGTAGTTAAACGCACGCATGAGCACATGCGCGGCCCTCCTTACCCACAGCGGAGGGCCCAAACTCGTGGGTTCTGGCTAGCCCACCGGTTCTGCGTCAGATGAAGCTTTAATAGTCTCTGGACTGAAAGCACAAACATCAGTTAATACAAGATACAAGATACGTTGTTACATCACAGACACGCGCGTGTGGCCGCGCGCCGCGGCCGCCGGCGAGCGGCTGTGGAGCGACCCGCGCGGGGGCTTCGCGCCGGCGGAGCCGCGCATGCAGCGGCTGCGCGGCCGGCTGCGCGCGCGCGGCCTGCGCCCCGACGTGCTCTCGCCCGCCTGGTGCGCGCACCACGACTCGCGCTGCCTCTGACCGAGTGAGTCGCCACGTCACGGCTTGCGTTTAATACGAGTGTAGCCGGCGTTAAATCACAAGGAGCCGCCCGCCTCGCGTTGTGGCTGCGTCACCGCTTGCGTTTTTAAGGGTAAACCCCCCGGCGTGCGTGACGCGACTCGCGCTGCCTCTGACGAAGTGAGTAGCTACGTCATAGCTTGCGTTTTCATGTGAGTGTAGCCAGTCTTGTATTAGAAAGAGACACCTGCCCGCTTGAATTGAGTACCACTACTCGCGCTGCCTCTGACGAAGTGAGTAGCTACGTCATAGCTTGCGTTTTCAAGGGAAAGCCGCCCGGTGAGCGTGACGCGACTCGCGCTGCCTCTGACGGAGTAAGAGGCTACGTCACATCTTGAGTTAGAATGTGAGTGTAGCCAATGTTGTATGACGAAGAGACACCCGCCCGCTTCAAGTGTGTGCCACTACTCGCGCTGGCTGTGATGAATTTAGTAGCTACATCACAGCTTGCGTTTTCATGTGAGTGTAGCCAGTCTTGTATTAGAAAGAGACACCTGCCCGCTTGAATTGTGTACCACTACTCGCGCTGCCTCTGACGAAGTGAGTAGCTACGTCATAGCTTGCGTTTTCAAGGGAAAGCCGCCCGGCGAGCGTGACGCGACTCGCGCTGCCTCTGACGGAGTAAGAGGCTACGTCACATCTTGAGTTAGAATGTGAGTGTAGCCAATGTTGTATGACAAAGAGACACCCGCCCGCTTCAAGTGTGTGCCACTACTCGCGCTGGCTGTGATGAATTTAGTAGCTACATCACAGCTTGCGTTTTCATGTGAGTGTAGCCAGTCTTGTATTAGAAAGAGACACCTGCCCGCTTGAATTGAGTACCACTACTCGCGCTGCCTCTGACGAAGTGAGTAGTTACGTCGCAGCTTGCGTTTGAATGTGAGTGTAGATAGTCTTGTATTAGAAAGAGACACCAGCCCGCTTCAAGTGTGTACCACGACACGCGCTGCCTCTGATGAAGTGAGTAGCTACGTCGCAGTTTGCGTTTTTAAAAGAAAACTGCCCGGTGTGTGTTACACGACTCGCGCTGCATCTGACAAAATATGTGTGTACGTCACTGCTTGCTTTTTAATGTGAACTAGTATTTTAACAGGAAGAGCCGTCCGCCTCGTGTGTGCCATGACTTGCACTACTTCCGGACGCATATAAACTACTCCTACCATAAGTGTTATTATCATCTTTGTGTTTCGCGTATATTCGCTAATTTTCTAATAAAAATTTTGCATAATAGTTGAGAACAAGAGGGCGTGGACACGTGCCCTGTGGGACTCCTAGATTAGCTCTTTCCATATACTACAAAAATGCCGTTTAATTTTGTTTCATTAATTATTTATTGAATTGTAAAATCTTAAATTTTATTGAAAAGTTTCTATGCAAATGCATTGAGTAAATTTGCTGTACTGCATTTTCATTCATGCTAACATGAATTTAGCAACTTTAGAGTAAATAAAGAGGATACTCTTGTCTAAATTTCAAATATTTGATAATATATTCAATTACATGCCATTGTGTGAACTAATGTCAACTGGTTGCTTTATCCGTAACTATAAGTTACTGAAGATATTCAAGAAAACACACATGATATAAAAGACGAAAGTTAAAAAAATATGAAACAATACAAAATTGATCCATGGCTTTTTTTATATTTATGGTACAAGAAATCAGTGACTAGGATATTCGATTTTCGATACCATTTAATTTTTTACTACAAAAGTCATCATCAGCACTTTTTCTTTACAGATTACCAAAAGTCACTTGCAAGGCACGTTTAAAATCGACAGGGACGACATAATTTAAATTTATTTCCAATAATAATATATGTGTAGGTATTGAAAGAAATAGCATTCTCGAAGTTATGTGTACCTAAATAATAGCCGGTAACAAAATACACATTAGAATAGCCGATATTTAGTTTGTATCTTGTGTTTTTCTTTCTTATAAGAATGACAGTTATTGAAAGATCAAGTTTTGAGGTTTTGAGGTTTCTTCCATAGACAAGACTGTTTGGTGGCATTTTAAACAAATATACATACATAAGTAGAAAAAATTGCTTTATGATTTGAGCATAGTGAAAAATCTAAAACATTATTACTAGATACTGGCTTTTCTACTTTTTTATTTTTTGCTGTGCAAAGTTTTAGCCCTAGAATGTTTCACTTTAATTATTGTACACAATCATTATACACTCAAGTGAACTCTCATGATATTCCGAGCAAAGTACAATATATTTGAAGCACATTTGATACTTACAGAGTTTTCTAGCGAATTTGGATTTAAATTGGAAAGCAGCAAAAACTTTTTTTAAAGTCACATTGTTTTGTTGTAATAAATGATATGTGAAAATGAGAAATAGTAGCGTTTTCTTCCGTACATTAAAAAAGTTCATTTTATCAGGTTTCGACGGATGGAAATATAAAGAAAAAATCGTAGCAAACTATAATTCTATGGCTAATTTCAAACAATGTAGCCATAACATTCTGCCTTTTTCTATTGAACACATTGCGATCTGGTACTAGATTACCGTCTGTTTTATAGGAATGTTGTATATAAGCAACTTGGACATAAACCTATACGAATTCAAGTACTTTACGTAAATTTTGATATGTATGTAGTCTTTAATCATAGCATATACATATAATAGATTAAGAGGCCATTACTTAAGTTGTTATCTGTTAGTAACAAATTGGTGCTAATGTAATTAGTATAATAGGAGTAAAACTTACTACTTTTAAATATTTTAGATCTCAATTCTGTATCATATTGAATTAAACAATGAAATTAAGTTAATCACATTTTTTCATAATAAATAAATGAATAAATGAGGTATATGTGTTTATTTTATTTATAACACCCTTTTTCCTAACTTTTTTCTTTTGTGTAATTGCGGTTTATTAAGATTAGAATGCGATAGATCCGTTTTTTATGATCCAAGTCAAATTTAATACATTTTGATAAAGAACAACGTCAGTCACTGCCACTCTTTTTTTTATGTGAAAAGTCGTCACGCGAGCAGACGGTACACCTGATGTTAAGTGAATACCGCCGCCCATGGACATCTGCTACACCCGAGGGTTGCAGATGCGTTGACAACCTTTTGAAAATTGGGCTCCGTCCACCTCACGAAATGCGGAAGTATTTATTATACTTTCACTTTACGCCGGTCTTCTGTAAGGTTGTGATACTTACCCGGACGAGCTTGCCCACGACGACGAGGTCCCACCTCCGGAAGTTTGTGTAATCCTTCAACATTAATAATAGTAATACGATCTTACAAATACGTAATATGCGAGAAGGTAGGCGCGAACTGACAGTTCACCTGATGTTAAATTATAAAGGCCACATATGGACATCTACGACACCTGTAGTGTTGTGTCAATAAGTTGGGCCCGGTTACCTCACTCACCAGAAGAAATGCAGAATTATAACACCGTGAATTATAACTGCTGCGTGACCGTCCATGGTAAGACAAATCACTGTGATAGGGACCATAGTGATATGTTATTATATAAACATTATCAAGTTCACAATGCAATGTGTAGGTCGTTAAATATTTTTAAAAGCTGACTTAATTCGCCGTATTTATCTTTTACCTATCATATGTGATATCATATGGTAAAAGTTAAATACTTTACAATCGACTTCAAAATCGGAAGAGGTTCTCAATTCGACTGTATATATATATATACATACATATATATATATACACAGTCGAAAATATATATATATATATATAAATTGCAAACGAGCAGGAGACTTACGAAAGTGATCATCGCCCATACTTATGATGATTGCAGTCTTCAAAAGATTTTCTATTGTACTCATTTTAATATAAAATTTCTAGCCATCATCGACACTCGGCTAGAGAATTTTAACCTTTAATACTAAACAATGAACCGCAACTATGTTTCTTAATGATTTTTTATTTTCAGTAATACAGCTTCGTTATGCTCATTAATGTTACTTTATTTATCTGTGTCATGAAAAACTTACTTTTAACAATCTACAATAAAGCTATTAACAAAATAACAAAACATTTTATTAAGCCATATTATAAGAAAATAAAAATTATACATTATAATTCGAGTTGATACCATTAATGCTTTTGGGCTTTCCGGATACAACAAAAAATGAAAATGTAAATAACGCGGGAAATGGGGTACATTGTAATCTACAGTACTATTTTACAATATTTTTCTACTTTAGTAATTAAAATAATTTATTATAATTTATTGTTACTTCCTATTAAAAACACTAAAAGTAAATTGACTAGTATAAGAAATAATTTCTCCACTTTATCGATGCATTGAATAAATTCGACATACTTCTTCGAAACGTTTATTAGCATAGAACTTTATTTCATTTACTAAAAGACTAATAACTTTTAAAAGAAGGTTATCTTTATGATACCATTATAACATTATAATAGACCAATTGTTATAATGACATTAAATACTACAAGATAACCTTTCTATTGTTTGGATAAATATAAAACAATATTTAATGGTTATGTACACGTAAGTCGTAACACTATTTGTAGATACTATTGAGTCTGTTGCAAGGGTAAATTTATAGATCAGCGCTATCATTTTAGACGTAAAGCTTTATAATTATATAATTACGTTAAGCTAAGATACATTCTTAAGTCATCCTAAAACTTCACTATAACAAATACTAATAACTTCTTTCAAATGTAACGAAAAATTGGGATTTACGAAATTACGAACAGTTGCTACTTGCTACTGTCATGATGAAACGCAGAAAAAAGTCGGTAAAAGTTCAATAACTTTATAATAAAAAAGTAAAGCCTCTTTGTGTCCCACTGTTGGGCAAAGGCCGTCTCTAAACAGAGGGTATTAGAGCGTCCACCATGCAATCCCAACGTGGATTAGCAGACGTCACATATATTCGAAATTTTTTTTTTAGTTTGAAAATATGCTGCTTTCCTCGAGATGTTAGCCCTCACCACAGAGTACGTGATAATTAAGCGCATAAAATTGCAATTAACAATTTCATTGGTGGCGGCACTGGGAACTAAACTCAGGTTGCTTAAGTACATTGAATTAAAAGCGAGTACCAGAATACTGAGCTATCAACGCTCTATCCACTTTTTTAATATGTGTTGGAAACAAAACGTTAAGTAGGATAAAAACTTAGACCGATGCGTGTCGTAAGGAAAAATCATAACAATCTTACGACAATTACATTCCAACGCTGCGGAAATGTAATAAAGTATTTACTGCTCAATACTGTTTTTGTGATATATTAGAAAATAACAAGCATCTAATTTGATAGAAAGTTAAAAGTAGAGATCAATGCCGCTCATGTCATCTCTTAACGTGGGTTGGCCTCACTGAGAACACAGTCAGGTTTGTTTGTTTATCGTTAGTGTAACTAAAACGTAGATTTGGATGATTGAGAAATGAAAATGTTCATATATAGATAAATAAATTCAAATTAGGTGTACACTGTAGGTGATCGATACGGACGGAGAGATTGGATAAATTTTTTAATGTTCTGTATTTAATTCTTGTAAGAACTGTCCAAGTCAAAATGTTGAATTAAAGTAAATATAACGGTTACTAGGTAAATTTAATTCATTGGAGAACGGTAAAACTTCTATTTCATCTAAGGATCCAATCGATTTTAGAAAAATTGATTGGAAGTGGAATTTATTCAATGCGATCTAGCTACGAGAATACACAACGTTCACATTGATACATTATTCCTATTAATATTCCTCTCGTTCATATTCTTGACGGCACCCAGACTGAGGTCGTTTGGCACCAGATCATGTAGTACCGTGTCGCTCCTGAAGATGCTGGTGGCTATTCTGTTGGCGAGTCGCTCCGACTCGCGCAAGTCGTCGTCTTTGGACGAATGTGACGTGAGATCGATTTCAGTGTCGCTGTCGCTCTCGGTCGCATTCTTCTCGTCTTCCCTCGGGCGGTAAGCCAAATTCTGCGGCTCCTCCAAGCCCTGGACTGACGGGGCGCAGTGGCAGCTGGCTGGGTTTTTGGTCGGCACTCTCAGATCAGTAGGCACGATGTCCGATTCCATCTGTTGCTGCATCATTAGAGGTGGGAACGGGAATGGCTGCGGCATCATCCGGCCGTCTTCAGCGCCGTATTGCATCGGCGGCGGCATATCGTGGACTGGCGCCATGGAGTCGGGCATGCCGTTGTGGTGGTAGGCGTCTGCCCTGGGAGACTTCATTTCGCCGTTATTGTCCATAGCCGGCGAGGGTTCTGGAGACCCCTTGTCGTTCGGTGACTCATCCCCCTCCGGCGATGAATCCGGGGGTTTCGTATGGCCTGCGAAGGACAAAAAAATATTTTGCATGTTATAATAATACAAAAAAATATTTTGTATTATTATAATCGTATTGAGATGAAATTGTACAAAATAATAAGGATAAAAAAGTTTATTTTCTAAAACTCTTATTCTAAAATTTTTAAAGTTTTAAAATCATAAAACGTGGTACACTCACAAACATTAAAAGTTTGCGACGGGATGGGAAACGCAGACAGAAAGCGTCTACGGCCGTATGGTCCGTTTTGATAGAAATATATTTTATTACTCATTCGTCTACTTATGGGGATAAAATTATTTGTCACAGCAGCGATAAAAGCCAGCTCTATTCTAAATTTAATAACCTAATATTTACAAGATTAAAACTATCTAACATTACATATTATCTAATAAACCTAACGCGGCATGGTGCCAAGAACGAGAGCTTTGAGCGAGAAAAGAACCAGATCTGTTGTCACCGTCAAAATCAAATTTAATTGAAATCCGTTTCGGCATTAAGACGATAAAAGACAAGAAACGCATAAAAATAGTTCGGCCTTTATTGTCTTAGTGCTTTGTTAATTTAAAACAGTGAAATAGCTCACATATCCCGCTCATAAAGTTCTCAGTCCGTCATTGTTCCGCTACAAGGAACCGTTACCGTACCAAGTAACCGTGATTACGGATTTCTTCTGTAACTTCAGACTGTTACTTTGTTACGCAATGATACGCGTCTAAATGGCGAAATATTTTTGAATTAGTTTCGTGTTTGTTTTGTTAAAATGGCATCTCTGTTAGCACTATAAATTGGCAAAAAAATCATAATTATACTATTTAGGAGCACTTTTGTAAATCTTACTGCACTTTGTGAAATCTCACACTCCGAAACACATTGCGCGCAAATGATAATCCAAATCTTTTGTGTTCATGATATATTCACACTTACATGAGAAAAACTTAAAGTTTGTTAAGTTGTATACAATAGATAACTGTTGTATCTACTGAACCGATTCTTTTGCTTATTATTATATAAAGGTATATAATCCCTTTCTCACACATCCGTCCCGCGACTTAAGACATATTTTCGTCGTTTCTATCGTTAGATCTAAACGAGTGTTTAACTGTGGTAGGGCCACGCAGCAGCCTCGGCTGTTGCACGAATGGGCTCGTCCGGGTAAGTATCACGACCTCACAGGAGACCGGCATAAAGTGGAAGTATAAATACTTTCGAGTTTCGTCTGGTGAGTGAGGCGGCCGGAGTCCAATTTTCAAAAGGTTATCAACGTATCTGCAAATCCTCGGGTGTAGTAGATGTCCATGGGCGGTGGTATTAATTTAACATTAGGTGAACCACCTGCTCGCTTAGCAACTGTTCACATAAAGGGTCTGTTGAGGTATTCTTACGTACTAAGGAAAAATTAAATCCTTTAGTCTATCCGTACGAAAGCTATTACAATTAAGTTTTGTTTTAGACATTTATAGAAATTATTGACCTGGAATACCCAATGGTGGTGTGCCCAGTCCCAAGCAACGCATTCTCCAGGCATCCTGGAGTAGCTGAAGTCGAGCTTGCTTGCGCCACTTGGCTCTTCGGTTTTGGAACCACACCTGCAACAAAACACACTACGGAATGTATCCCTTCTTTTAATTAGAAAGGACTCCCGCACTTAGAAGTAACTCCTGCGAATCGAAAGTTTTCACATAAAATGCGGGCAGAAAGTATATTCAGACTCGGAACAACTGTCTAACGGTCACACTATACCTTTATCTTTACTTAATTACTTTTACACTAACTGGCGTTTTTGCTTTCAGTCCGTAGACTGTTGAAGCCTCAAAGAACCCAAAGCTCGTTGATTAGCCACAACCCGCTAGCTTGATACGGCCCTCCACGTTGGGTAGGTCCACGCATATACTCATGCGTGCGTTATCTTAAGCGGGAGGACCCCTACGAGTCATCGAGGTGCGGTACGAACCGTGTTGTGTTAATCACACACGATTAACACAGTTAACGAAACAGTCGGGTGCGGTAAGAGCCGCGTGTGTAACTTGGTAAAACCAAGTTTTGTTTCCGGTGATGGTCGAACCCTCATCACGCCGTGCAATATTTTGCCAACCGATTAGTGTAGTGGGTAGTGAACCTGCCTCTTGCACCAGAATTTGTTGAGTTTCGATCCCCGCAGCTGGAAAATGTTGTGTGATGAACATAGTGTTTTCCCAATGTCTGGGTGTTTATATAATGTACAATTTGTATTTGTTTACAAATAAAGTATGTTTATCAGTTATCTAGTACACACACTACAATCAAGCGTTGCTTAGTTTGAGACTATACGACGTTGTGTAAAAACGTGTCATGAATATTTATTATTATTCCTATTATTAATACGATTTGTCAAGCTCCTCATTAAGCTGTGCGTGTAGTGATTCATATATTTTTACACAGGTAAAAAAAACTAAATAAATTTTCACATGCCACGGTCAAATTCTTTGTTAAAAGAAAGTATATAGCCGTTATTTCCTGGCCTAAAATTGAATATTACTCACTAAAGGTTACAAGATTCAATTTAAAAGGGGATGATTTAAATTCGAGAAAGTTAAACGGTCGCCAAAGCTCCTGCGTTACCCTCAATCACTATCAACTTTATCATAAACTTCCTTGTTAATGATAGTACAAGTTCAAACATCTTTTAACTTTAGAAGCTTTAGATACGAGTATAGATTGAATAATGCACTAGTTTTGATATAAAAAAGCGCAATAATAAAACACAATATAGCATAGTATACATTCCTATATCTGGATATAGGAATGTATACTTTATTTATCTTTCAATCAAATACGGAAAAAACGAAAGCAATATGAAATGAATTTATTACTGTTGATGATTCTAAAGCGAAAATAGATTTCACTTCATTTTTGTTTCAATTTCATTGTTTTTTTTTTTTTCATAATATAAATCAATCTCTATACATTTTTTTAGATATTGAGAATTTCATAGTTAAAAAGCGTTACGTTCCACGCCTTCTGTTATATAAAAGATTATTCGTTCAGTTATATCTTAAAAAAGCGGACATGTTCAATTGCGGCATACTAAGTGTTTTATACTCTTACTAATTATTTCCAAGTGAAATGCATTGTAACACGTTTAAACTAATAGTTCAAAACTTGTCAATATTTATTTCATTCATGTTGATTCAAATTTCATTTAATAATTGAAAACTTTAAATTCGATGATTTAGTAGGAATTCAAAATACTCCTCTATGTAATAAAAATTTAACTACGATTAAAATTTGTAATGGACTGTGTCGGAAATAAGTCATGTAGATTGTAAAAGTAATAAATTTTAAAGTTATATTTATAGTCTGTTCAGTCATTATGGATACTGTTGTCCGAAAAAGGCGGCGATTTTGAACAGGTAAATTGCGATAAATTCGTAAAAATATTTTTTTTATCCTATATTCGATACCGATATATCCTCCAATTGTGATAAAATTTCTACTTCCACAAAAATAATTTTCTATCTTAGGACTTATCTTTACTTAGTAAGATAACCAATACTTAAACCTTATTCAAGATAGAGAAAGAATTTCAAAAACTTTAATGATATTTGTAATAGGCTTCCAATATAATTTTGTCTCATTCAAAGTGGATTAATGTAGATCCGATAAATAAGTCAAACATTTTAATCTAAGGCAACGTACTTGCACCCTTGCTTCTGAAAGGCTGATCCGGAGAGCAACTTCCTCCCTCAGGAACACGTCTGGATAGTGGGTCTTTTGGAACAGCGACTCCAATTCGCTGAGCTGCTGCGGTGTGAAGGTCGTCCTGTTGCGGCGCTGCCTTCGACGACCGAACATATACTCCGTCAACAGATCTCCGGGCAAAGGTGACAAATACGGACCAGCCATTTCTGGACCTTCTTCGTATTTTACTTTCAGTATAACTTCAAATCAAAAGTGGCAGTGTGTCACATTTTAACCGCGCTGAAGTAAAGCTTTCCGATATCGTAGAATGTTCGTAAACTTCACGCCGTTAACAACTTGTAAATAGTTCTATGACACGAAGTTTTCTGTCAAAAAAAAAATCGATTGTGGAAATACGCTCCCATATCCGACAAGAACGCCACTGGACTGTTTGGATCTGCAAAAATCCAGACTTGAAAACCCCCTAGACTCCACCCCTCGGCAATATAATAGATGCACCTGATTGGCCGCTCCTACTAGGGGTTGAAAAGTTCAGCCAATCGCCGCCCGTTTCGAGGGGTAGCATTTAAAACAGGTGTAGATCGAGTTATGGCGTATCTGTAAATACAAATTTCGTATGAATGTGGTTAACTTTATATTGAAGCTGTTAATTAAGTGAACGCTTTGATTAAAATGTTGGGAGTCGATTGTGGGTTTAACACAAATTGATTTTACTTCTTGTATTCTTTGGAGTTTTTTTTGTTCGAATTTTAAATAAATTATTATTAGACAGCGGTGGCGAAAGTACTTCAGAAATTAGCAAATTTAGTAATAAAATTATTCTTTTTGACTATTTTTTTTATCAGATTTATTAAGGACAAGCTTTAAACAATAACCTAACTTTAGAAAGCTTGTATAATGTCAATTTACTAAAATAATTTTTGCTTTAATGAGTTGAAATGTTGTCGTTTTTTTGTTTCAGTTTAGTTAAGTACATATTTCTCTGACCTATAATAAACAACCTAACAATTTTTTACAATTTTCATAATTTATTTTTAAACAAGCACCAAAACAAAAACTAGAGTATAACATAACGTGTAAACTTATGTGTCTTTAAATCCTATATTGTTTTTAATGTGCCCGTCTCTTCACTTATGATGAAACATTAAAATTTTCAGAAAAATAGACGATAAGTTTGTCGCTGCGACGGGAATCGAACCCTGCGTCTTTCAGAAGACATTTTAATACGTATGTATTAAATACATACGTACATCCTTAGATTTACTTCCTTTATATCAATTTAATTTATTGACAGACATTTTCTTACAACAATGCGAGGGTTTGACAATTGGTTTAACAATGATTGGTTTAAGATGTAATGTGAATCTTAGGTGCGGGCTAAACGTAAGTGTCGCGATGGTAGTAAAGTAATTATCGGTATGTTCAATCTAGATTATTTTTTCTTGGCAACCGAGCGGTTTACTTTTTTTTTTTTTTCAAAGTCAAAATTTCTTTATTCAACATAGGCTTATTTTAAACTCTTATTTATTTTTATTATTATACTTTACTTTACTAAGCAAATACTGATTGTGTCTCTGGGCATGAAACAAAAGTATAATAAACTTTCACTGATCTATCTTTCTCTGTCTTAACAGAAGATACGGTCTTTCATCGACCTATTCCTGCTGCAGTTGTGATAATATAAGCTAGTGCATGAGATCCGATTTTTATCACGGTGATCGCCTGATTTTAAAATGTTTTAAAATTCAATTGCCAATACAAAGTTTTTAAATTTTTTTAGATGTACCTAGTACTAAATAAACGAACTCAAACTTGGCAGGTACCATCACTCAATACTCGTCATCAGGTAGAGATGAGCTCTATTCTAACAAAGGTCGACCAATTCCAGCAATTTCCTGCATAATCTAAAATTCACATTCACAAAGGAAAAGAATTAACTCAATTAAATATATGCAACTAAACTTAACGATATCTTCATGGAAAAAAGTGTATAGTTGTCTTGTTTTTTTTATATCTATGTTTTTTAACTTGTTAAAATAAAAATACTTTTTTTAGTGTTTTCACATAAAACTAAGTAGGTATACAATATTTACTTTTAGAATGTAATGTAGAAGCTTCATTTTGTAAGTTGAGATTTATTTAAAATTTGTTATATCATTTAGATACTTATATTCATTATTGGTTAACCATAATATGGAATTTTCATGTTCATATATTTCTTTTTTTGCGTAAACTTTTTTAACGTATAAAGTATTCCATTGTGGCGTTTTCCAGCTGATACTTACGATTCTAAATTTGATGCAAGTATTTACACACAAGTGTTTTGTCTAAAGTGTATGTACACACATTGGTAGCCGGAGGCTTACACTCAAAAATCTTATGATCATAATTCGTTTACTCAGAGACCATGAGGTATTTTATTCTCAATTTTACCCCAATTTTTAGGTTTAGCTCCACCTTATTTTCCTTAAAAGAAAAAACCTGAGATATAAAAAATTGAGAGGAATAAAATTCTTAATTTTTTCTTGAATTGATTTTCTCAATTCGTGAGGAAGTAAATCATATCCGTTTACAATAAAGTGTATGCAGACTTATATTAAAATTAAATGTTAATTTAAGTATGTCAATACAGTACTCGCGTGTTTTGTATCCCATAGCATAACGGTGAATCATAAAATTACTACATTATTGTAACCCGATTCAATCTAATGCTTGAAATAACAAAAGAGAATGGTTTTGAATACACCAAACGCTGAATATTTCCAGCATTTTTTTCTGTGCTCCTAAGTCATATTTGAATCCTCAAACTGTGACACACTTTTTAACAAAACCACTCCAAAACTTTTTCACCCTCCATTTGGCCTATAGCCAATAACTATATGGGTGGTTTACGGCCGTAGCAATATCAGCTCAATTGTTTAGACGCGCATTTATTTCAGTTGCTTACAGTGTTTTTTTTATTTCAAGGTATTGTTTTAAAGCAGTGTTCAATACAATCAGTAATCCAACAGTGTTTTGAAATAATTCCACGTGGTTTACGGAGCAATTATTCTGAGGTTTTATGATTAGTAAATTATATTCACAAATCATTTTAAAGTCGTGCAAAATTTGGTTTTTAAGTTTAGTATATAGAATTGTCTTTGTTATTTCATAACAGTAATTGAAAACAAGAAAGAAGGCAAAAAATACGGTAATTTCCTGCTTTCAATAGGGAGTCTCCCTATAATAAATAGTATAATGCCTCGTCGGTCACAAAATACGCGATATTGCTATACTCTGATAGATTGCCCGAGTGGGAAAGCAAACGAATGGATATCCGTTACCTCATGGATTCTCTACGGAAACTCGTGGAATAATCATTTCATGTTACACTAGACTAGCTCGCATAGTCACGCATGTAGACATGCGTCATTAACAAGGATTATTAGCCACGGGCCGTCGGATTCCGGTATTCGGATGGTGAGGCCAACAGGCACGTGTGGAGCGGGGAGAACTGCCAAGAACTAAGGGTGTTTTAATGTGTTGGCCTTAGAACGTTTAGTACTCTTAGGCGAGGATGACCTTCAGGTTGAGTTACCTATCGCTACAAGTACAATATCAACACATTACTGCGAAATCACTTTCAGCCGTGAATCCTAGTGGATTCGGAAGTATTTTTTAACGCGGGACGCGTTTACGCATTGTCGGGTTTGAGTTTGGGTGATATTTGCTTCTAATACCACCTGAGGGTGTGATGATTTTAAACTCTTTCTAAAAACAATTTAAGATATCTTTGATATGATTCAGTAAACTTGGGACTTGCAATTGCTGTGAAGGTCGCCATGTCGTTGTGTCACTTCGTAGTGGTTGCGGTTATTTGTAGCATCTATTTTTTTTAAGGGTACTACGGGAACGTTTGTAAAAGACATGCAAACGTTGATAATTTTCATTATGGTTACAAACCTTGTGCAGCAAGAACTAATATCTAAAGGGTGTTTTTCTCTCTAGATTATGAGTTAACGGAGTCAGCCCAAAGTTACACGAGGAACGTAGATGAGATTAAGATGCTAGAAATAGCTACTAAAATTGTAGGTGAAATATGATGCCCTGTGAGAATGGATGCTGTGAAGGGTTCCAAAAGTGGGAAAAAAAAATAAAAAATGAACGCGATAAATCCGTAAAAATAGTTTCCTCCTAATTTCTGTGAAATATGAATTTTGCTGCATGTTACCGTAATCAATTCTAAAGCAGAAACCTCTACTTGTATCTATAATAAAATCCGGACACTTTACATCCAAACACTTTTGTCATGGGCAAAGTTACAATCTGCATAAGAGACAATAACCAATGATTAAATATTATAAATACAAATCTGGCTCATTTACTTGTATACTACACCACTCTGTAGTCGGTAATGGAAACAATAATTTTAATAAATAAAAAGATAATTAATATAAAATTGTAGGTCGCTTGAGGATCCAGTTATCAAAAATTGGGTAGATAAAAAGTTAATAATTAATATAAAATCGGAGGTCACTTAAGGATCCCGTTATCAAAGTTTATGAGTACTCTATAATATGGGAAGAGAATTAGAAGGGATTCATTGACAAATACTAATTTATTAAACTAATTTATACATACATTTTGAATCCTTTTTGGGTTAAAAACTCAATAATACAAAAATAAGTTGAGGTAATAAGATGATACAACTAGGGCCGTGATAACTCAGTGTCTGAATACTTTTTATTCAATATACTCGAGTAACCTGAGTTCAAATCTCGGTGCAGGAATCAATGAAATTGTTAGTTTAGTGCTAAAACATCTTGAGGAAACTGCATATTTTCGAAATAATAAATAAAAAAAAACTCTGAGATATGTGAAGTTCGCCAATTCGCAGTGAGAAGGCGTGATGGATATGCCATAATACCTCAGTACCGAGGAGGCCTTTGCCCAACCGTGGAACATATAGAGTATTATGATACTTAACTTTTTTTATAAATACGATGAGACAGGAAAATAGCAACCATCTTTACACAATCATTTTACTTAAACAGCTATCACGATCGATTAATTAAAAAAGGAAAACTTCATAAGAGCTATACGTATTCATTGCTGTTTCCGTATCAAAAGAATAGCAATATACGTATCCCAGAGACAGAGTGCGGTACGGCATGTAAAGTCTTGCGAAAACTGAAACACCACAGTCGTAATGAGATATTGCCCCG